GGAGAAAATGTGGAGGCCGTGACAGACTTTGTATTTCTAGGTGCAAAGATTACTGCAGATGCAGACTGTGGCCAGGAAATCAGAAGACGCTTACTTCTTGGGAGGAGAGCAATGTCCAATCTCGATAAAATAGTAAAGTAGAGACATCACACTGGCAACAAAGATCCGCATAGTCAAAGCCATGGTATTCCCTGTAGGAACCTACGGATGTGAGAGCTGGACCTTAGGGAAGGCTGAGCAAAGGAAGCTAGATGCTTTTGAGCTGTGGTGTTGGAGGAAAGTTCTGAGAGTGCCTTGGACTGCGAGAAGATCCAACCAGTCCATCCTCCAGGAAATAAATCCTGACTGCTCATTGGAGGGAAGGATACTAGAGACAAAGTTGAAGTACTTTGGCCACATCATGAGGAGACAGCAAAGCCTAGAGAAGACAATTATGCTGGGGAAAGTGGAAGGTAAAAGGAAGAGGGGCCGACCAAGGGCAAGATGGATGGATGGCATCCTTGAAGTGACTGGACTGACCTTGAAGGAGCTGGGGGTGGTGACGGCCGACAGGGAGCTCTGGCGTGGGCTGATCCATGAGGTCACGAAGAGTCGGAGACGACTGAACGAATGAACAATTGAGAACTAGGTCAAGAAACACATTATAACAGATCTTTTTTTTTAAAAAAAAGAAACACAGACACACACACACACACACAATACACTGTAGCTATGAAAGTGCTCCCATTCTTTTTCATTTTGGTCTTTAAAATGTGATTTTATCAAGGTTACCCTCATATATAGAGAGCTATATATTGATCACTTCTTTTTCAGTATTGCTGATGTAGGAAGTTGTTAGAAGGCTTTCTGATAAATGTGGCTTGTTGAAGGCTGATAAATAGTGCAGTTCTATTTTTATTCCCATGAAAGTCAGGTAAGGGTTGTATCCAAAGTATTCTGAAACAACTCAAATTAAGCTTGAGATGTCATGTAAGATGCTGGTACTCCTACATCAGTGGCGCAATGGGTTAAACCCTTGTGCCAGCAGGACTGAAGACCGACAGGTCGGAGGTTTCAAATCCAGGGAGAGAGCAGATGAGCTCCCTCTGTCGGCTCCAGTTCCCTATGCGGGAACATGAGAGGAGCCTTCCACAAGGATGGCAAAACATCAAAACATTTGGGTATCCCCTGGGCAACGTCCTTGCAAACGGCCAATTCTCTCACACCAGAAGCAATTTGCAGTTTTGCAAGTTGCTCCTGACATTACAAAAAAACTAAAAAAGAAAAACAAGTAACTGTTAAAATACCAAATACACCTGTTTTCAAAGAAAATCCGTATTCCCTAATGCAGATCCAGTTAACAAATCAAATTTTTATGAGTGTTTAGGCATCATTGACAATGTTTAAATTGCTACTAGTCAATGGCTCAGATTCAAAAGGGATCTTCTAAAGAGAATCTCCTTATTCCTGGAAATATCTGTTTGCGTGTTAATAGAAGAGAACTGCCCGAGAAAGGTTGCATAAACTCAAAGAAGCCATTTTGAGCAGAATGGAAGGAAGGATGGAAGGACAGAAGACACACAGTCATCTAAAGACAGACAGAATTATCATTTAAGAGATAACTTCTCATTTAAGAAATAAAGAGATAAGAGAAGGCAAGAAGTTTGATTTAGCCTGAAGACTAAATTTGATCTTCTGGACCCAAACCTGTAGTTTTTATTACCATATTTTTCAATGCAGGACAGACATAACCCCCCCCCCCCAAATTAAAATGGACTATCCTTCTCTGTCTAGGCCCTGTTTTGGAGTCCACCTAGATAATTGAACAGGACCTAAAATTCTTATCTGCCATTCTTTGATCTCAAGACTATCACCAATTGAAGGTTTTGTTGATAATGTCAACTGAAGCTCTGTCATCCACAATCCAAAAGGTGGTGATTTTCATTTATATAAATAATAATAATAATAATAATAATAATAATAATAATAAAATATTTATATTCTGCTCAATCTCCCCGAAGGGACTCAGGGTGGGTTCCTGATTTAGATATTTTCCCCACACTCTCCTCCTCCATCTCTTTTGTCTCTCATCTTCTATGCTTCCTTACACATTTATTGCAAGACTTTGCACACATATTTTCTTATCAGCTGTAGAATTCTCATGCTGATTGCAGAATATATTATGTAACTTTTTATTGTAGAACAATTACATTAATGTGTTACATATTAATCATTTCACTTACTCTATTTTCTTTGGCTATAAACTGCAACATCTGGGTTGGCCTACCTTTACACCAAAAACAAGAATAAATAAAGCAAGGGAACGGGAACTGTTAACACAAAAATCAAGATTTCAGACCACAGACCACAATTTATGCACGTAACATTTGTATACCACAAAATCTAAAGCCCTATGGATGGCTTATAACAGACAGCTCTGAAACACAAGTTGTCATGTATAAATTGCTTGCATTATACAGTTTATAATACTTTACTGTACTCAAATATCAGATTGGGCAATTGAGAATATTTGACTTGTCAACTGGTTGATATGTCAACTCTCCAAAGCACCCTCTGGGTGATGTGATATGAGGGATTGTATAGAAAATAATAATACATGCAAAAATCCATATTACATACAGTAGCATTCTTGGTTTACACATGGAAACTACTGGATGTGAGCTTTCAGAAACAACCTTACTACTGCAAATTACATTATTGTACAGTAACCACCACCACCTCCGCCACATACACTGTGTTGGGAATATGTTAATAAAAGCAATAACTAAACAAAACTAAAGGCAATGTTAGTTGATATACATACTAAAGAATAAATTTAAAACACATACAATAATTTAAATAACTATGAAAAATATAGTTTATCTTCTATGTTAATACTCTAAGATTCACTTAGCATATCAGGTAAAATCTACTTCTGATTAAGCCATGACCATCATTTAATTACTGCAGCAAATAAAGCTTTAATATCGTCTTCATGAGCAACAATAACAACATCAACAAGACTTATTTCATTGTCTTCAAATGTCAAACTATCAAGTGCTGTATAAGGCAACAGTCAAACCACAAATAAACTGATATTCTAGTCCTTCCTTCCACACAAGGACTGGCTGGCAGTTTTACAATAAATTAAAACGGAAATCTTCAGCAGATTTGGAACTTCATTTAAAGCAATCTATCAGGCGTAGTTTCATTGTAACCTATATCACCATAAAAGGTTAGCAACTTGAACCATTTTCCATTATTTAGAAAACAATGACAACTGGAGAATAGAGAATTACATTTCCACAGTGTGCAAAAAGCAAGTTTTTTTTTTAAAAAAAAAACAACCTGTTTTCAGGCAAAAAATAAAATAAGCACATTTGAACGGTAAAGAAAAATCCTGCTGTTAATCAGCTGCTATGATTGAGATGGCAAGGACAGAAGATTTTTTGGCAACATATATCAATTTTGACTGACATGACTCCAAGCAGCAGTCAGTATTCCAGCAGTTTCTGTGTCTGCAAGCTCTGGACTAAAGAGGACTCACAGCATGATGACAGCTATTATATTATCCATGGCAGGGCTGGAACCAATTAACAGGCTAGAAGACAGCCAACTATGGATTCTTATGTGAAAGTTACCTCAGTGACTTTTGACTCTAACAACAGAAGAGTTTTGTTGCAACTACTTAAAAACTAACAAATTTTACATAGCAAATTCTGGCAGATTGCAGCATGAAATGGATTGCAGTGTACGTCAAATAAAATTCGTTAGTCTTTAACATGTGCTAAAAGTGTTCGTTAGTGTTTCTGCATCTGACCATCTCCTTCTTACTTTAAATTATTTCCTGTGATTCACTGGTGAGCAGAATCCGAACTCAGATGTGGAAAGAAAAGACTTCCCCTTATAACCATTTAGTAAAGATAAAGGTAAAGGTTTTCCACTGTCATTAAGTCCAGTCGTGTCCGACTCTGGGGGTTGGTGCTCAGCTCCATTTCTAAGCCGAACAGCCGGCGTTGTCCGTAGACACCTCCAAGGTCATGTGGCCAGCATGACTGCATGGAGCGCCATTACCTTCCTGCTGGAGAATTGATCTACTCACATTACCTTCCTATTGATCTACTCACATTTTGCATATTTTTGAACTGCTAGGTTGGCAGAAGCTGGGGCTAACAGCAAAAGCTCACGCCATTCCCCGGATTCGAACCTGCGACGTTTCGGTCAACAAATTTAGCAGCTCAGTGGTTTAACCCACTGTGCCACCGGGGGCTCCATTATAACTGCTTAGTTACTTGAATCCCCAAAGATAAAAAAAACCCCAGACTTTTATTTATGCCCTATTGGCAGGACCATTCCTGGTCTGTTGCAAGGGGAGAGGAAGGCTGACCTTTCTGTTTATGTCAAGTATTAGTAGTCTCTGGCTCATGGTTGTTCCTCATCTATGGCTAGTCATCCCCAATCCCAAGCCCAGACTTTCTCCATGCAGAGAAGCACTGAGGAACGGATTCAAAAGCATCAGGACGTTATAGTTGGTGGGTGAGCAGGCGGGGGCCTGATTGCTTTTAAACCATCTTACAATGTAGTCCTTATGTTCTTATTTTTAAGAATTACTTAGAAAATGCAAATATATTTTCGTGAGATATTTAATGACAATTGCAAGTCTGTATGAAATATTTATAATATAAATAATTTGTTACTGCAGTATCAGTAACATTATTTGTAACTCCTCTCACTTCCAAGCATATAAATGGCAAAGTGAATTTGTCTGGGCATAATCTCTCTTCAAACATACTAGAGCTACCTGTGAAATTCACGAATATGTAATGCCTTCTAACAGTCTGTGCATTTATTTCAAGTATTCAAGCCTATGAAGATCAAAGGTACATCCTATCATTGTTCATTTACTGGTTTCATTAAAATTCATGGTATATTATTTTTAACAATGGACAGTATCCAATCAGTTAATCAAACTTCAAAGATAAACTGAAAGGACAACTACATGTCAACATTATTTATCTTACCTGACAAGCAGATGTAGGTTAGATATTCACCCTGACCTCCAGTTGCTAGAAAAGGAATCTTTTTCTTAGTTCTTCTTTTTACTTGGACTGCTCCCAACATCCTTTCATCATGTGGAGCGAAAACTTCTTTGCTGATAGCAGATTTGGCACTCATTGTAGATCAGAGACAGAGGAGATAGGTGGCCTTCCTAAAATAAATTTGTATAGTAAACCTTTGTTCCTTTAAGATTTTCAGCTTATATAGTACACAGGCTTTCTTTCCTCTTATTTCCAGTTAAAGTACACCCCCACCCCCACCACCACCACCACCAGCCTTCACTGATGTCAGCACTGGCTGCCTATGACAGTCAGAAATTCCCACTGAGCTCTGAGACTGTCTGGCAACAGCTATGGTGGAAATACAGACCTAATCCATCCCTTTTTCCTTGCACAGCTGACAACAGTGAACAGGAAATAGTGGTGATGGCAGCCTATGTGGACAGCTGACTAGTTTGATCAGAACCAGTCCTGCTGTTCACATTGGGCTGAAACCACAGGACTGCTCTGTAGCTTTGGTGAAATTCTTGAGCATACCCTGACTTTACTTAAAAGAAGGATAAATAAACTGGACCCTTTAATAAGTATAGGAAGCGACAGAACATCATGAAGACAGCAAGGAGCTAAATGCACAGTGAGTGCAGGCTATTAAATCTATGTAAATGAGCCCTATACACATATGGAAGATGTGAACATAAAACAATGTGTTTAGTCGAGATTAAAAGACAAGATTGCAAGACCCTTAGTACTGGTCAATTGAGAAGAAATGCCATCAAGCCCTTTTATCGGAAATCCTGTCAATGATCTTTCATTGATCTACTTGCTATAGGGGAAAGTGAACTGAAAGGGCCTCTGACCTTCTTTAATCTCTTCAATGTGGCACCACTTTTGACCTTCTTGAATGCTTGGGCAGGAAAATGGCAGGAGAATTAGCTCATGAGTTGGGACTGAAAAGTTTGGGGATTAGCTATACAAAAATAAAGCAGTGAACCAATGAAGGCAGTCTTGTCTAGATGAGGTTTACAGAGCAGGAGCTTTCAGAGAGAAAATGCATTCCTGAAATTGTGATTCCACTTTGTACTGTAAGAGCTCATCACATGATGTAATTGCCTCATTTGTCACATTCCATCCCACAGGCCGGTAAATTGCCAAATCATTTACCATACTAAAGAAAATTAATTTCTGTTGTAGGAGTAAGCAGTTTTGGATCAAAAGTGTCCCCCCCCCCCCAAAAAAAAAGTTTGAATACATAGATTTACATGATAAGATATTTTAGAGATGGGACCCAAGTTTAAATATAACATTCATTTCAGGAATTCTATCAGGATCTATATATAGCAAATGAAGCACCTAGAAAGAAAGTTGAAGAGTATATAGATAAACACTGTAAAATAAAGATCCAAGAAACAGATAAATTAATTATGGAACAAGCAATATCAGAGAAAGAGATTGAGGAAATTATAGACAATTTAAAACCTGGAAAGACTCCAGGACTGGATGGGTTGGGACCAGAATATTATAAAAAATATAAAACATTATTCATACCTAAATTAAAAGATCTATATAATAAAATAATAAAAGGAGAAAAAAATCCGCCATCATGGGAACAATCATTGATCACCTTGATATTAAAACCCAATACCCTACAGACCCAGGATCGTACAGACCTATCTCATTAATATACCAAGATGCAAAAATATTAACTGCCACACTGGCTAAAAGGATGAATATATTTATATATAAATATATTAAAGAGGATCAGTGTGGATTTATAGGAGGAAGGTAAATATCAAATTTAATGGGTAGGGTATTAAACGTAATTCATAGTATTAAAAAAAGAGTGGCAGGAGTATTAGCTTTGGATATTTATAAGGCATTTGATAGTGTATCCTGGCAGACAATGAAATTAATATTAGATAAATTTGGTTTTGGAGAAAAATTTATAAACCTAATTGATAAATTATATTCAAAAAATTATATGCCCAAGTAATGGTGAATGATGGTTTAACAGGGAATATAGATATAACATGAGGCACGCAACAGGGATGTCCTCTTTCCTCAATTTTTTTTGCAATTGTAATGGAACTATTAGCTAATGTAATAAGAGACAACAGTAGTATAAAAGGAATAGGAACAAAACAGAAATATAAAATAAATTTGTTTGCAGATGACACCCTTTTATCAATGGAACATCCAATAAAACAATGGGAGAAAATCGAGGCTCATTTAACAGAATTTGGATTAATGACAGGGTTACAAATTAATTGGAACAAATCAGAAATGATATTTAATTATCGAGAAGAAGAGAAAAAAAATATAAAACAGGAGGGGAAAATTAAAATTAAAGAAACAATTAAATATTTAGGAATAAATATCACTAAAGATTTTAAAAACTTAGAAATAAATAATTTAACCAAATTAAGAAAGGAAATTGAAAAGAAATTACTGGAATACAATAAGCTCAAATTATCATGGTTCGGTAGGATAGCATTAGTTAAAATGAAGATATTACCCAAACTAAATTTTCTATTTAGAATGCTACCTGTAGAAATTTCAGATCAAGAATTAAAAATCTGGCAAAACATGTTAAATCTCTATTATAATGGGAACAAAAAAGCTAGAATAAATAAAAGTTTATGGTATAAATCACAGAAAGAGGGAGGTCTTGGACTACCAAACCTCAAGTTATATTATCATTCAAATCAAATAAGATATATAGTAGAAAGTTTAGCAAAACAAAAAAGCTTGGAGTGGCTGGAAGAAGATGATAAAAAATTAGAACTGAAATTAGAATACATTTTATAGGGGTAATAGAGGAAAGGGTAAAAAGAAATGGTATAACAATCCCCCTTTAAAAATATTTTAGAGATTTGGGGGAGATATAAAAAAAACCCTAATGCCAGGTATTTCTCCTATCATGCCAGTTTTAATGACAGAAAACTTCCCAGAAAATTTGAAAAAAGAACTTGAAGAAGAGCTTAATGGAAGAGGTTTAATGAAAGTAAAAGACTGGGATCTGAAAATGGTAAATATGGAAAGGATAAAAGAGGAATTAAGAGACTTAGATAGGTACAAGTATCTACAATTGGGTAAATGGTCAAGTGATATAAGGAAAAAGTATAATGGAGGTAGGAAATATACAAAAATAGAAAAGATGATAACTCAAAGGGAGACTAAAGAAGAGAATATAACATTAAAAGGTACAGTAAGTGATATCTATAAACTATTATTAATGAACGAACAGCAACAAGATTATTTGAAGGAAGTATGGGAAACACTTGGGGGGAAATGAATAATCAAGAATGGGCAAACATATGGAATATGAGAATACTAAAAAATATGTCTATAAGAATTAAGGAAAATTACTACAAAATGATATGGAGGTGGTATCTAACTCCCATTAGATTAAATCAGATTGATAAAAAATACTGAAAACAGTGCTGGAGAGGTTGTCAGGAAATAGGGACGTACCTTCATATGTGGTGGTCATGTAATATTATACAAAAATTTTGGGAAAGCATATTCAAAGAAATAAGAGCAATAATAAAAATAGATTGCGATTACACCAAAATTAGCATTATTACTTATACATGATAATATAATTCCCTTACAAGAGGAGAAAGAATTGGTTTCTAATTTGATAACAGCAGCTAAATTGTTAACAGCAAAAAACTGGAAAGAAAAAAAGAAATTCAATTAGAAGAATGGTATAGGGAAATGTGGAATATAGCAATTAATGATAAGCTAACTTGCAATATTAAAATTAAAAGTGGAATATGTAAACCAGGGGTCCTCAAACTAAGGCCCGGGGGCCAGAAACAGCCCTCCAAGGTCATTTACCCGGTCCTCGCTCAGGGTCACCCTAAGTCTAAAAACGATTTGAAAACACACAACAACAACAATAATCCTATCTAATCAGCCAAAAGCAGGCCCACACTTCCCATTGAAATACTAATAAGTTTGTATTTCTAAAAATTGTTCTTCATTTTAATTATTGTATTGTTTTTAAGTATTTTTGCACTATAAATGAGACATGTGCAGTGTGCATAGGAATTCATTCATGTTTTTTCTAAATTATAATCCGGCCCTCCAACAGTTGGAGGGACTGTGACCTGGCCCTCTGTTGAAAAAGTTTGAGGACCTCTGGTCTACAACTTCCAATGAGTGAAAATAGGTGTCCAACAAGCCGACGAAGCAAGTCCAAAGCTATAGCAGGTATGCAATAAAATAAATGTAGAAAAAAATAGCATTCTCATACAGGAACGTCTGACATATGGTTTATTGTGCCATTCTTACAGCTTTATTCAGGAAACAGGGTTAACACAATCTGGAAAACTGTGTAGTAGTAATTCATAGCTCAAAAATCTCCAACAGAAACAGGAAATTCAATAAACATTATGTTGTCAATTGTGCCAAAGTAACTACTAAATGTTTAGATGGACACATTTCTCCAGCAGCCAAATCCAAATGTAGCATGTAAAACAACTGGCATATAATCTTTTAAGTAAAGATGCACAGTACACTATGTTCACAAGGTATCTCTTTCCTTATTTCTTCTGTAAACAAAGGCAACAAAAGCTTTTGTCTCACAGCTTCCTTTTTCACTGAGCAATTAACATCAGAAAGAAACAAGTGTTTGTTGCCAAAAGTGTATCATGCCTATCAGGCAGGTGTGCTAAGCAAGATCCCACCCCCAAAAAGCACTCCATTAGCATCATGTCTGAACTGGAGAAAGTGATCGCCTGCTAACACTGAGGGCTCATACACTGTATAACCAATGCTGTATCACACCACTTTAATTGCTATGGCTAAATGTGATGGAGCCATGGAAACTGTAACTTTATGACATCGTTAGTCTTCTCTCACAAAGAATCATGGGCCTCATCAAACTACAAATCCAAGGATTCCATACTACTGAGCCATGGCAGCTAAAGTGATGGCCAACTGCATAAATTCTACAGTATAGATGCACTGTATGTAAAAGCTGAAGCAAAATATGTTAGCTGCATACCCAGCTGCACAAATAGCTGGATTGTGCAACCAGGTTCTCAGGAAACTGTGTCATTTATTATCAGTATATTTATCCTACAGATATACAGGTGCCGAGAATTTTTTAAATTAACTTACTTTCTAATGATTTTATGTAATAGTT